CTTCCATTTCTTCCTTCACTGCCACCATCTTTTTCCCACCATTCATCTGGTTTCTACATCGGCTTCCACAATTGCCCCCTGCACACAGTTTTAGTCCAAACCCATTTTTCATCTAACAAGGATGTCCTCTGGGGAATTAATCTTATTTTTTGGCCTCACTGAAAACTTTCTAGGAGGAGCGAGGACCTCCTTAGATGTCAGTATTATTTGGAAAGTACAGGGACCAATTGGGTGGCTTGCCCCTGGCCTTCTCTTCTCCTCCATTTCTTGCTTCCTTTTCTTTCTCTAAGGAGGCTAGATTTCTCCTCCTATTCATTCTCTCCATCTGGCAGCCCCTCCTATGTCTTTCCTGTCTTGCTAGGGTGTTCAACTTCATCAGGTATTTTAGACAGGTAAAGAAACACAACTTTATGAACTTAAACAAATGCAACCTATCTTTGCATCATTAAACTAATATTTCACAGCATAAGTGAATGCAACACATCTAAACCTAATGCCACAACACTAACCAGTTGGAGTAGAATACTTGGCCTCAAGCTCTGGTTTACCTATCTATAAGCAACGTGCCTTTAGGAATAGTATCCTTGTTTAGATCATTGCCAAATCTGGGATAATATAAACACACATAAGTAAGGTAGTTGTGAAGTCCAAGCTCCAAAACCAAGAAAGAAGATGCAGGAATCATGATGAAATGACATAAACTTTATGCACGAGGGGTAAAGGCTACTCTAGATGCCAATAGGCATACAGGCGGGCACAAGGCAGTGGGCTACACACAGATGGGTGAAGTTACCAACGCAAACCTGCACACACACCACAGTTAGGGACACACAAACAAAGTCAGAGGTAGAGAAAGGCAAAGTCACTTGTTTTGGACCTCAAGGGCATGTTTCCAAAATCTCATGAAGAAACATTCTGCCAGAAATGATTATTTAATAGCTTACAGAACAGTTTACTTTAGGTTCCCTGGATGTCCAGTGTCAGCCATGCATTTACTAATTCATACTGGATATCCATAACAACGTCAGTCTAAGCGTCAATAGACTCTTGTGGCCTTCTGTTCTCTATGGTTATGTATTTTGTCATTTTTCACTTTGCTAAGATACTGCACCTGACCAACACAATATTAGGAAGTATACGTTTTGTTTTGTCTCAGTTCGTCATTGTAGGGAAGGTGGGGCAGTAGGAGTGTGAGACTCCTTGTCACTTTGTACTCACAGTCAGGAGGCAGAATCACCAATGGTGGTACTCCGCTTGCCTCCTCCTCCTTAGTCTGGACTTTCAGCCTCCAGAATGATATCACTCTTATTCAGAACAGGTTTTAGCACTTCCACTGAGGACTTGCCCAGAGGTTTGTCTTGTAGGTGATTCTAGATCCTGTTTAGCTGGCCGTAATAACCATACCAGGTTATTTAAAGAGAAAACTATTAGAACATTAATTACATAATACCCTGTATAAATAAGTCTTACTGTGAGAATAAGGTAACCAGAGAGTTGTGTCCTTAGTAGGTGGTTATAAATAGGGACCTGCTGTTGTTTGACGTGAGATGCTACCTATAGGCGCATGTGTCTAACACTTGGTCCCCAGATGTCAGTATTATTTGGGAAGTTCAGGGACCAATTGAAGGGAGAGCCTTGCTAGGGGAAGGGTATCACTAGGGAAAGGGCATGAAATTTTCTGGCTGTGCCTCTCTTCCTGTTTCCCGAATGTGGATCAAATGAGACTACTGGCCTCCCCTTTCTACCTCCATGTCGTCTCCGCTATGTCTTGAGTTACAAGACAAAATAAACCATTTCTCTCTTAAGTTGTTTCTAACCAGGTGTTTTGGTCACAGTAAGTGATGTAAAACCCTTACTTTAACACTCAGAAGCAACATGGAAAGAAAGGTAAAATAACCTATAAAGCCCAGAAGAATGTGAAGAAAATGTACAATCTATCAATATCAAAATATTAATGATAGATGAAGTGGCTAGGAACTTGAGAGAATAGCATGACAAAGATAGAAACAAGTACAAAACAAATGAAAGGTCTCTTTGGAAGTGACCTTATACTACAGCAATGGCAACTTCGGGGTTTCCCGACGTGGATCTTCTCAACACTGCACAGCGCACAGGGTTCTTACTGGCTTCCCAAGGATGGTGACACTTTCAGTGGGGCATCTTTTTAAAATGCTGTTCACAATTTTTCAAAGCAAAACCACCAAAACCAATAGCCAAACAAACAAACAAACAAACAAACTGGCACCAACTAGAATCTTCAAACCTGTTCTACAAAGACAAAATAACGTAACTAAAAGTTGTAGTAAAGCTGCTGGGTCTATTGCATTTAATTCACCATTGTCTCCAGTGACAGAGAGGACAACTCCTCTCTCCCACCTGAATGAATAAATATTTATAAGGCTCTCTACTGAGTCTGAAGGACACCACATTGCTCCAATAGACGACAGTCTCAGGATAGAGTGGAATAGGCAGGTTAAAAACAACAACAAAAACCACATTCCATCAGTGGCCCATTTTCTTCTCTAAGACAGGTAAGAGCGCTGTTTTTAATTTCTAGTCCTGAGTGGGAAGTCATCCTGAAAGTGAAGCCACTTCACGGGCTAAGTGGTTAGAAGAAAGTTAATCCATCAGGACTGAGACAGTAAGTTGGACAAGTATAGTTCCCTTGGGCCACAGGAAGAGCCGGGACAGTTTTCTATGCCTTCAGCTGCAGTTTTTCTATCAGACTTCCAGTTAAAAGAAAAGGAATTCACTAGCACATAGGTTTACAATTTTTTTTAAAGTTATTTTTTTTAATTTTTATGGTTTATTTATCTTTTATTTTATGTGCATTGGTGTGAAGGTGTCAGGTCCCCTGGAACTGGATTTTTAGACAGTTGTGAGCTGCCATGTGGGAACTGGGAACTGAACCTGGGTCCCCTGGAAGAACAGTCAGTGCTCTTAACTGCTGAGCCATTTCTCCAGCCCCATAGGTTTACATTTTTAACTTAAATTTTATGATAAATTGTCATAGCCACCCCCAATATTCTGAGCACATTACTATCATGGGATAAAGGAAAAATGCCCACTGATTGTGCCTTGGATTCACTGAGAAATGAAACATGAAATATAGTCTGGAGGGAACAAAAAAAAGTTCACAGTGCTAGTTCTACCCACGACTAGTATGTTCCTTCAGTTGTATGCATGCATAGAATGAGCAAATTACATGCTGGTTCAGTTAACATGTTCAGATGCATCTTCTACTGCTGAAAATAAACGCTTTCCAAACAAGAAATAAGGGCTGATTACATATTTTCCTATGGCTTTGACCATTTGTATTTAAATAATAACAAAGAATCACTAGAAAACCTGCTATATTTGACAAAAGTCTGTACAAAATTTACCCATCATTTCAGCATAGATGGCAGTGGGCCGGGAGGCCTCACCTCTCCTGGGGGAACTACTGGCAGTTAATATTAGCTGGGGGTGGCGCTTGGCGGGTGGGGGCATTTTCTTCAGTGGTGTAGTCACTGATATAGTAGTACCCATGCTTCAGTAAATAACTTCCTCCTCAAGATCATAAGAGTAACTCTAAACTCATGGGTCATACACGAAATAGAACACGAAAAGAGGAGGATTTGTTGCAAGTTGGAGGTGGTGAAAGGAATGGGGATACAAAATGGTTAAAATTTGTTACACACACACACACACACACACACACACACACACACATACATGAAACCATAAAAAGACTTTAAAATTAAAAATTGACAAATCAATGTTTGTATTTTGGAATCCATTTTATTTCTACCTTAATATTCAGAGAAGGAAGACTACAAAGAGCGGTACAGAAGAGGGAAGATTGCTTTTGTTATTCGCCGCCACAATTGCTTTCTGCAGTTCTTGCCTGTTCAACAACTTTTTTTGGTATTTTGTTTTTCGAGACAGGGTTTCTTTGTAGCTTTGGGACCTGCCTTGGAACTAGCTCTTGTAGATCAGACTGGCCTTGAACTCAGAGATCTGCCCGCCTCTGCCTCCCGAGTGCTGGGATTAAAGGTCTGAGCTACCACCCCCCAGCATTTAACAACGTTTGGCAAATACAGGCATTTGCTACCATTACGTAGAACCTCTGCCTCCTATAAACAGCCCAGCTCTCATATGCCCCTGTGGCATCAGGTTTATATGCCTTCCTTCTCCCTCATGGTCTCATGTGTTCCATTCTCTTTTCTCTCTGCTCACAGCTCTATCTTTAACAGGCTGACCAGTTTTCACAGCACTGAAAGCTCCTACTCTCTCTGTGTGTTGATGTTGCTGTGGGTTGAAGCGCATGCCCCGTGAGGCTTCGGCCGCTGAGTGCTTGTGTCGCCACTTCTAGTTCTTATTTGGAGACAGGGTTTCACTAAGTGTCCCAGCATGGTTTCAAAGTCACTCTGTAGTTCAGATAGATCTTGAATGTGAATCCTTTAGCCTCAGGCTTGATTTTCAGAAATTATAGGCTTGCTTTGCGAGGTCAGGCCATGGGCTTTCTATGCATCACAAACAATGATGACGTGAAAACGTAAAAATGCAAATATTGACCACAGTAGACAAGTAATTAAAGTAGACTGTGCTACACAAATAGCTTCAAACCGGAAGACTTTGATTATTGATGACATAAGTCCACATAGGCCCACGTGTTGGTGTATTTTACCATAAACTACAAAACTTAAGATCCAAATTGATTTCTTTTTTAAAATACTTAAATTCAAACCCAGAGCCTTGGAGACATTACATAAGTAGATTACCACTGGGAAACACGCCTGCACCAAATCAAAATTTTAATTTTCTCATCAGGTAAGGTTGGACATACCTATAATTCAAGAATTCTACAGGCTAAGGCATGAAAATTGAAATTTTAAATATTTCTTGGGATACAATGAGACTACAGCTCAAAACAAGAAGGAAAAAACAATCTTTCATGCACATGAAAATGGTAAAATTTCTGTCAAAGAAACTCATCAGGACATTAAAAACACACAAAATCCACAAACAGAATATATTTTATTGCATTGTTACAATGATTTCTGAATACCTGTGTGATACTTGCCCCTCTAGAACTGGTTAAAATAGCAATCATTACTATGAACATCTATCCTCACCTGTCAAAGGTCACAGCTTAGGAATGATTATTAAAAATAATAATTTACTCAAGCAGGGTGGTGGTGGCGCACACCTTTAATCCAAGCACATGAGAGGCCGAGGCAGGCAGATCTCTGTGACTTCAAGGACAGCCTACAAGAGCTGGTTATCCCGGAACCCTGTGTCAAAAAAACCAAAACCCAAACCAAACACAATAATTTACTCATTGATTTTCTACAAGTATAGAAGGAACCTAAAGCTAAATCTATACATTTTGACATCTGTATTTTACTTTGCCTTTGAACATTATGGACACCAGAGCCTACAAGTATTTAAAGGCACATTTGGAAAAAAAAAAGAACTTCAATAGATCATATTTCATAATAATCAAAGTATATGAGTTCAATATAGCTATATAGCTCCAACTTACCATGTATATAAATGTCCTGTATAGGTTTTGGTTTGATCTAAGGTTCTGATTCTAATAAGATTTCATTAACTAGACAAGAGTATTTATTTGTGAAATAAATTCTCTGAGAAAGTTATATTTCAGTTAAAAAAAATCTTAACGATATTTGGTAAGCTAATTCTTCCTATCAGCACCCCTTTTAACCTATTCACCATGTGTGTGTATGTGTGTGAGTGTGTGTGTGAATGTGTGTGTGTGTGTGTGTGTGTATGTGTATATGTGTGTAGGCCAGAGGTAGAAGTCAGGATCTTCAGTCACTCTACGCATGTGTCTGCTTCATGTAAATGTGCATGCAGCTGCCTGAGGAGGCCATGAGATGGTGCTGGATGCCATGGAGCTGTAGTTGCAGGTGGTTGTGAGTTGCCTGGGGAAGATCTTGAGAACCTAACTCTGGTCCTCCCCAAGAATGGCAAGTGCTCTTCATCACTGAGTCATCTCCAGTCTTTCACCTTGTGTTTTGAGACAAGGAATCTCAATGAGTTTACTGATTCATTAGACTGGCTGGACAAGCCCCCAGGATACACATCTCTGCCTCTTTAAATCTGGGATTAGATATTCATGTCTCTGAATACAATCCTTAAAGGGTAATATATATATTATATATACCTTAAAGGCTGCAGAGGATCTGAACTTAAGTCCTCATGCTTGCATAGCAAGCGCCTTAATGATGCAGCCATTTTCTAGCCCCTATTCTATAGATGTTTTTGGTAATAACTTCTATTTCCCATTACAGAAAAAAAATCTAGTTCTTACGTGCAGATTACAAACTGTTACATTCATTACGTTCAACATTTATTGTGCCTAAGATCTCTTCAAGTTCGAACAGAAGAGCAAAGATGGAAAATGTGTACATTTATATAAACAACTGCAGAACAACCAAGTAAAATCAATGTGGTTATATTGTAAAACTGTGACATACTCCAATTACCTTCCCACAGATTTTAGCAATTTGATTCTAAAGTATACTAATTAAGGGTGCTTAGAATGTGATGAAATAAGGTCAAAACTAAGATATCATATTTCAATACTGATGGGAATTTTTACATAATTTTTCCAAAAGAAATATATAATACATCCTTCTTCACAAAATTAAATACAACCAGTGATTTATTTAGTATGTAAATATACTTAAAATTTAGTTCCCGACATTCAGGAATTCCTTTCTAAAATGTTAAAGTCCAGTGGAAAAATTATAGAATCTTCAGTTAACTTAGTAACAATTTTAAGTTGAATTAAACCAGACAGATGTAGTAGTTAGCTTTAACAGGGAGGTCCTAGAAACAGTGGTGTGCATGGAGTCCTTAGTTCCTCACCCATGACTATTGTATTCTGAGAACAGTAAGGATAAATTGTTGGAACAAATCATTTTGAACACTAGTTAGAGTAAACTAGAAGTAACTTTAACAGTCCTACCACCAGTCCATGAGGCCAGATCATTCATTCCCGTGAATGAGGTGACTTAACACACCCTGGAGCTCCAAACCCATTAAAGCTATGTTGACACATTTCTCCAACAAGGAATCTCATCTTTGCAAGCGGTAGCTTCCTGTTCCATCCTGCTTCTAGAGCACACTTCATCCCAACATGACCTTTCTTCGTAGGAATGCAGATAAAATTTATGAGATAAATTTGTGACCCATAACAAAATTGTTCACAGGCTTTCTCTAAATTTAAGAAAATCTGAGGTATCATTCTAATTTACAAAACTATGAATTTCATAGTTAATAATGAAAAGAATACTTAAAATATTTTTGAGCCCCCCTGACTTTTACAAGATTTAATGATCAATAAATATATCTAAGCTTATTTGAAAATAGATAGTATTAGAAATGAAATAATACTCCAACAGATGCTATTATTTTTCATTTAGAGACTGGGGTTCATTCCAACCCAGTGTTTGATTAACTGGTGAGCAATAGCCCGGCTTGGTGGTACAAAGAAAGCTTGGTGCTTCCCTTTGGTGAGGACATTCACAACCTAAAACACAACCAGAAGACAGCACATTAGAGGGCCAGGTAATACAGCAGTTTCCGTTGCTCCAGTTCTGCATTTAACTTCAAAGCAAGGTGATCCTTTTGATATAGGTTCCTTTTTCAATAATTCTGAAATAAAAATCTAATTTCTCTTATGAGTACAAAATAAAAATCAATTTTATATAGGCAAAGGCATAAATGAGTCTACATCTTTAATACTACATTGTATCCTTTTTCTATACAAATTTTGAGTGTTGTAAAACAAACAAACACAACAAACCAAAAAAAAAAACTAGGCAATTATTTTATCTCTTTTACTTAGAGATATACTTATAAAAAGTACTTAAGAATATATATTATGACAGATTTATGTACTAAATGACATCTTTGTCTTTCTTGCCCTTGGGTTTCTTTTTTTCCTCCTTTCTTTCTATTTCTTAAGACACACACACACACACACACACACACTTTAAAAATGGAGACTCAGTAACTCAGTATGTAGTCCAGGCTGGCCTGGGAATCACTAGATATTATGCTCAAACTCTTGGCAATCCATATGCTTCAGCAGTATCTTTCAGAATACAAAAAAACTTCAAAAACTTCAAGCTTTTTTATTGTTTTTCAGATATCTGATAAAATAGCTTTAATGTATATATCTGATATTAATATTTGATATGTCTGAAGTAATAATATAAATACTTAAATTGACTAAGAGGGATTATCATTCATTCATCAGCCAGTATGAACGTGTGAAATTTGAAATGGTACAGAATCATCATTCTAGGAGAATCTCACAGAATAAGTCAAACAGGGGACATCAGCAACACACATTTTCTATATGGAATTATCAATTACATTATAATCCATTCATGATGAGAGGGCTGCAGCCACTCATTTGACTTGCTGAAATTTGCTTCCTTGCTGCACGCCCATACCAATACTATCAGGGAACAATCAATAGAATAAGGAAATTAAATTGAACTTTACCTGTTCTCTGGTGAACCAACGGGCATCCTCTATTTCATTCTTGTCAACTTTAATTTCTGTAGACACTGCCACAGCTAAACAACCAATCATTAAAGAGGAGGGCATTGGCCATGGCTGACAAGAGACATACTGAACATGGCCAACTTTGACTCCACTTTCCTCCTCTACTTCTCTCCGCACAGCATCTTCTATTGTCTCCCCTAATCAGATGAGGCAAAGGAACAAGTGGCTGGTCAGCATGGCTTGGACACCGTGAGCGCCAAACAGTTCAAACACTTTGAAATCACTCTGGAAAGAGTCCCCACTCAAGAATGCTAACTCTCGACTGGAAGTGAAGAAAGCATTACACGTGGAAGTCTGTAGCCACAAATAGACTCTCAAAATGCCAACAATCAACTTACATTTCCTACAATTTCTGTAAAAAAATTAGGAAATCTATAACTATCTATCACATATTGTTGAGTAAATGTTATTTAAAATTTTATTACTTCATGCATCACTATTTACAGGCCATTATTTCCCAGATTTTATAAATGGTTAGTTTCCCTTCCATTAATAATCGCCTTTTGTATAAGTACTGCCTGCTAACCGATTACTGGGCTGAGCTCCTGGAGTCCAGTCATAGAGAGGAAGGAGCGATAGTATGAGCAAAGTGGTCAAGACACAGAAACAGTTGACCTGAGCTAGTGGGAGTTCATTGATTCTGGACTGACACTTGGGAAACCTGCATAGGATCAAATCTGGACCCTTTGAATGTGGGTGACAGTTGTGTGGCTTGGGCAGTTTGTGGGACCACTGACCAAGGAACAGTATTTATCCCTAGTGCATGAACTGATCTTCTGGAATCCATTTCCTATAGGGGGATACCTTGCTCAGCCTAGATACAGGGAGGAGGATGTGAGAAACACATCTGACTATGATGCTCCATCAGTAGAGCAAGAGAAACACACACAGCAATGACACACTATTTCCTACCACTTTGAAGCACAAACTATAAAATCTGAAAATTAGAAACCCTGTGATGGGCTGGGTGACACTTGCCTGTAATTCTAATACTTGGTAGGCAAGAGGATAATTTGGAAGCTCGCCTGGGCTTTGGAGCAAACACTCTTTCAAGTACTAAAGTGTGAAAGTTCCAAGGTGGTAAGGATATGGACTAATGTAACATTCATGCACTACTGCTGGGGGTGTGAGCTATCAGGGGCAATACGCTAATATATGCGGAGACAACTCTACTCTGTATATTCCTGAAATAGCTCTTGCAAAGGTACATAAAGAGAGGAACAAAAATACCACACATGTGCTATTTTCAATAGGCAAAATCTTTAAATGAATTAAATATCCACAGCAGAACAGATGAATACATACCAGAGGACATTCACATATGAATGTGAAATACGACTTAGTAGTTCAAAAATGTCTTACACTTTAAAAAATTATTCATTTTTCAAATATCATGCTTTGATTCTATTCTTTCTTTTCCCCCAGTTCTCCCCAGATCCTCCTTATCTCTACACCCATTCAACTTCATGTTCTCACTCTCAAAAAAGCAAAGATCAAAGCAATGAAAATCAAAGCAGAGAGAGGAAGAAGATGTAGAAGAAGAAGATCAACAGATTAAGAAATAACAAAACAAAAACACATGGAGTCGCTGTAGTGTTGGCCAACACTTCCGGGAATGGGACTTGCTCTGGATTGTGGTTGATACACTCAGTGACGCTCCAGTGAGGAAAACTGATTTTCCCTTTCACAGAAGGTACTGATTGCAAATAACTCCTTTGTTGGAGGTGGTACTTTGTGTCCACATCCCCTTCCCAGAACAACGTGGTGATTAAAAGCAAAGACTCACAAGTGGAACTCCCTGGATTTGAATCCCTTCTCTATCACCTCAATTTGCGGCAAGTTATGCAGCCCTTGTGTGATAGCGCCCTCCCTTGTGAAAGTGCTGTAACAGGACCCACTTTATAAGGCTGTAAAAGGATCACAAGATTTAACACAGTCAAGCTACCGGTTGAGTGCCAGGTAATATATATTTACTACTATAATTACCCAACAGTGCAGACTAACAATGTATGTTGAGATTAAACATTACTAATCCAGATATTCATTCATTTGCTCTGAGATACCTAATAAAATCCTATTACATGTGAGGCATTGGCTCTGACTGTTTGATGTGTAAAAATGGTTGAAAGAGAACTTTCATCTTACAGAACTGAAGTGATATTAAAGTTGATAATCTAGTATTATAAGGTGGTGTTGATCACCGTAGGGATAGTAAGTAGTATGCCTAGGATTGTGAATGCAGGTGTGGAGGCTAATGACTATTTGGGGAAATCATAAACCTTAGAAGGGGTGGCACTTACAGGTAGCACTGAAGAGAGGTGCCATCACCTGGACTTCTAGTCAAAAATCAATGTATGACAAATCAAATACTAAATTTTCAATAAAACAAATTATCTTATTTGTCAAAATTTCAAAATGAAACAATGCTTAAAGTGTGTGATTAAAATACCGTTTAAAATATTTTGGGGTTAGCCAGATGGTTTAGCAGGTAAAGGCACTTGCCACCAAGCTGGATGACTTAAGTCTGGGACACACACGGATGAGGGAGAAAACTGACAAAGTTGTTGTCTGTCCTTAACAGTGCACACCCTCATATACACACACACACACACACACACACACACACACACACACACACACGTACATACACTAAAATAAATGCAGTAAAAAATTTAAAATTTAAATGTTTTCATTTTACAGCATGGTTTTTAATGCAGACTACATCTCATGTGTAATCTGCTTCAGAATTCTAAAAATTATTCATAAAAGGCTTACCGGGTTCAATAAATCCAGCGAGACAAGTAAACATGCCTGGGGGAAATCGCTTTTGCCTGCCTAGAAGACATTTGGTTCCATCTGGATGGATAACCTGCATGATTACTACTGGATCTGTTTAAAAACCAAAACCAAACCAAACCAAACCAAACCAAAACAAAACAAAAAGACACACAGGTAACAGGAAATATAATTAGATTCATTATGCAATAATAATATGCAGGTATATTTCTTATAGGAACAAGATTTCTGTTTATATGACACCTTTTTTCTGCTCTCATGTGTTTGATAAATATCTGAGAAACTGCAAAATACTTTTAGTGAGTGATTTTGCCATCCTTACTTCCAGTCTTAGCAACATTTACTCTGTACTTAGGCCATACTTGGCACAAGTTCAAGTAGGTCATGGACATTGAAAAATGCAAACTTTACTACAACAAATTACAGTGAATTTCTTTCCCCCTTTTATTCCAGTCCTCAGTAAAATGCTTTTAAAGGTGAGCACGGCTTTTTAGTTAGGTTTGAATCATTAAAATAAAAACACTTAGATAACATCCAAGCTCTCTAGACGTCATGAGCTTAAAAACCCTCCTCACTAGATCCTGAGGAGAGCCAGGGACGAAGTTCCTTAGCAGGGAAATCAGAGAGTCATTAAGCCGCCCACTTCCTCCCTGGAGACTCCATCTGGGCTTGCCGAGTTAAACTACTTCCCCAGCAATTTTGAGGGCAAGATTATGAGATTTTTCCAGCTAGAGCAGAAACAGCAGCAACTAGGAGAGGCCTAACCACAAGAGTGGGTAATGCCCCAACAGGTACTGAATCACCAGAGACTTCATTTTCTCTGCCCCAAGAGGAGTCCCACTGACTATACATGAAGTATTCCAGCACAGCAAATTCATGAACCGAGTAAACTAAAGGTAAGACGTGACTAGTTGTGAACAATGCAGTCTTTTACTGAGTAATCGTGACAGATGTTCAACAAAATGTAAACATTTTAGTTTCATAAAAATTAGTTTCCAGACTATCTTCTGCCCCAAGATTCCAGGTAGCTGAGATCTCACTATCAAATAAAGAAACAATTCCCCCCTCCCAAAAGACAAAACAAAACAAAACAAAACAAAAACCACGAAGCCTTGGGGAATAGGTCAGAGCTCTCTTAGAGGTTTTATCCTGACCCACACTGGGGAGCTCTCAATGAACGGTGACTTCAGCTCACTGGAATGACTCTCTCTTGTGGTCTATAGGGCACTTGCACACACATGTTCATACCTACATACATGTACTCATACACACACACACATACACACATATGCGTGCATACACACACACACACACTTTAAAAAAAGAAAAGTCTTACCAACTCTTGGATAAGATGTATTGTGGACGCCATGCAGACTAGGGCAGTTTTCTCTTAAGCACACTCTTTTATAGCCACCTTCTTCGATTTTGGTTGCGCTGCCACAGGTTGGGCAGAACTTGTATCGACTGTGCCATGCAAGGACAGATCTTGCTTGAGCTACAACACCTTTTAAAAAGAAGTATAAGATGATTTATTTCCATGCAAAACTAAGTAATATGTTGGTCCAATGCTTTAAAACTACAGTAAGCACCTGCATTGTTTTCTGAGTTGCCGCTTGACCGATGAATCATTTTATTTCGAATTTATTTTATGATGTATCATTATTATTAATTTTACATTTTGTTTTTAAACACTTTATTGTAACAACCTCACAAATAAAAATGTGATTATATGATTATATAGCTAGATTAAAATAGTCACTCAAAAAAGCAAGTTTCCTTTCTCTTTAATTTTCAATATGACAAATGAAAATCTATCCTCCCTGTCGCCATTCTAATCCGCTGTGTCTCCTAGGCCATTGCAGTGACGAATCCACTCTTAATAAGGCTCCTCACATCCACTCTACCTATATACCGACAACTCATGCTTTATGAAATATCTAACATTAACCTTGTTCCTTAACACACACGCGCGCACACACACACACACACACACATACACACACACACACAAATTCACAGGCACACACAATGTGGGTGTGCAGGGGAGGCACTGTTCCGACAGAAGCAATTAATGGGCACTCCAGCTGCTTCTCCCTCCCTCCCTCCCTCCTTCCCTCCCTCCCTCCCTCCCTCCTTTCTTTCTTTCTCTTTCCGTTGCTTCATGATATTAAAAAGCACAACAGAAAACAAAACAGCTGAGGTCTTTGGCATCATTTGTTCGAAATATAACAGGGACCCAAACATTAGGAAGAATTAAGCGAAACCATCCCACACGGAGGTCTACTCTAAGGCAACTGATCTTGGCTGGCCAAAACTGCCGCCAGCACTGGAAGAGTGTCCTAGCGCGTAAACTCGAGGGAGTTCTCATGCCTACTGCTCACTGGCATGCGCCACCCGGATGCCACACCAGCACCCGCCTCCACACTTGCTTTAAAAGCAGACCGTTCCCGACACAGGCGCACGCTTCCTTTCCTCACCAGCTTCTTTTTCTTTCAACTGCAAAAGGGCTGGCATTGGAGGGTGAAGAAAATAACAGTTTTCATGTCTTTGCTTAAACTCCTCAGCGGCAACAGGTTCTATGCTGAGAGCAAACCAAGCAACCAAACCATCCTCATCGTCCAAGGGGACTCCTGCAGCATCATTATGCAATCCTTTTCTCATCTCAAGTTCGACTCCAAGGAACACCAAGGTGATCTTCTCAGGGTGAGCCAGGTAATCCTTGACATCTGCGTAGTTCAGCTGGCGGAGCCTGACTTCCGGCTGCTGGGAACTCTCCTTGTTACCACTCAGAGTAACCAGGGGGTTTAAGTCTGAGAAGAGGATATAGACCGTGGCTGGGTGGCTCTCTTTAGCTTGCAGCCAATCAGAATTGTTTCTTTTCTCACTTTTCCGGTCCAGTAGCGTTCTGCTAAAATAATTTTCACATTCGTCCACTTCATTGGTTAGGAACCAAGGCTTCTTCCCGCCTTTTGCATTAGCTAACATGTTAGCTATATGCTTATAGCCCCAAAATACAGCGATATCGAGGGCGGTTTGCCGTGACTTATTGACAAGCGATCTGTCACATCTAGATAGAAAAAAAAAATAAATGGGAAGGAAAATAAAATGAGAAATAAAATTTTTTGCTTGTATTTTAGTAAAATGCATACATTACAACAATATTTAATGGTTTTTTTTCTTTTTCACCATCTAGTTCATAGTTTACTACTGAAGGTTAAAAGAATCATGTAACAGTTTTAAGGAATGACAGGTTACTGACAGTAGACATTGAAATAAAATGAAAACGTGTCTATACATGCCATAAAGAAACGCATTCTATAGACTCCACGGTAGCCATAATGAGACTCACACGTTTTACTTAGAAGAAAGGTATTAACGTTTTCATAGACATTCTTTTTCAACAGAGCATGAAGGGTTAATTTCTCAACTAAGGAAGCTCTTTCTCAAATGTAGCTCAGAGCTGGAGAGCCTGCCTGATAAACACGGAGACTGGTGTTCAATTCCTAACACTGACCAAAGGCTTTAGTGAGACATTCGGCTACTTTTCATACGATAAACTGAGCAATGAGCTATTTATTAGCCCATCAGTATAAAGGCATCTACAGGCAAATGGGAAGGGGCACAATAGCAGTCAGGAAAGCACAAACCCTTTTTGGCGGCACTGTACACCCTGAGATGTTTACCCTTTCTCAAGCAGAAGCTGGACGACATCGGCATGCCCATTCCTTGCAGCGTACATTAGGGCAGTCCAGCCATTGTCGGAGGCGGCGTTGAGAAGGGACGGAGAATGGCTGAGTATGCCTGCCAACTTGGCAATATCTCCTTCCGCCGCGGAACAGTGGAGTCCAGAAAGTACCTCCTTTTGTACAGACGACATTTCTCCCTTAAAACAAAACGAAATCCAAGAAAAACCTTATTTGCAGTTGCTTTTCGCATGACTGGATGAACATTATTTAAGTGCTGCTCTTGGAAAGAGGTAAGTTTCCAAACCAATACACCTGTCAAGAGATAATTCAGAGTCAACTGCTGTTGCCATACAGATTTTGAAATCGTTACCAGTTGAGAATTATAATTCAATATATGTGCCCAAGAGTAGGTTCATAGAATAACAAAAGAGCTCTGGTACCAGAGACGAGGAGCTTGGGACAGTAGAGGAGCAGTAACCACACAAAAAGGCGAGGGCACCGAAGACCAGGGCAGGGGTACTGACGGGAGAGGCGCGAGCAGATGACATTAGAGACAGAAGTCTGAGCCGATGATAAGTAGTATCTCATTCTGTGTCACAGATAGGTGTCATCCCTCAAAGAAATGACGGCTCTACAGTTATTCAAGAGCTTTTAAAACGTCACATAACAGCAAGTTACTGGGTAACCTTACATAATTAATTTTGCAATCCCTATGGTACTGGGTTTCTTTCGCAGCGTGAGGTAGACTAGGTCGGGATTTATCTTCATTCGTGGATAATTCATGACTCAGCACCATTCCTGAAATTATCTTTGTCTTATTGTACTGCCCTGCTATCCTTGTCACAAATTGGACAACAAAGCATTTTTGTATCTATTGCTGGATACAGTTTTTTTTTGACACTCTACAGTCCTTGAATCAGTTTTTAAAATGATTAACCTTGTCTGCCTTGGTATTCTGTGTTGTTGTAAACAAAGCAGAGCTATGGTTCTCAATGAATGCTTTGTAGTCTTGAGCTGTGTTAAAAAAAATACAGATTAAAAATGGTTCATGTTTCATCTGTCTGCTACCTACAAAATATCCTATCCTTCTTCTTAGTACCACTGCAGATTCGACCCAGAGCCATATCTCTTGAATTTTGAAACAGCGATTCGGCTTGTTAACTTCACAGTCTGCACAAAGTTGAGGAAAAGGATGGGTCAAAGATCAGCTTTCTGATTTGGCATCTGCTTTCCTGTTTGAGTCCTCCATTATCGATAAATAGTTCAAAACTTGCCAAGGTAACCAGGACACTTGTTTCAAATCTGTTTGCAAATGCAGCCAGGAGTAAGCGCTACATCTTCCAATTTGCTTTCATTTGATTTATTTTACTTATTTCCCCACTTTTTTCATAGTGAAGTTTTAAAATACTTTAAAAACACTGTAGCCACGGTTTTTAATATTTCAGGACTTTATTGTGAAGCGCGGCTAAGTGTCTTCCTAACTCCTAAACTTCTCTTCTGTCACATTAACAAACCTGTCACACAGCTTCTCCAGGGACGTTTACTTTCAAAGCTTCACTGTTCCCTGTTCAGAGGTCATGGTTTCAGAGTTCATGGTCACTCCCTCACTGTCCTCATAGGCAACCCCAGGTGACTGCAACATTGGTCGTCCAAACATGTTGTGTCATACACTACCAACAATGCAAAACGTACGCACAAAAAATTCTCTGGACTAAGAAGTGAAAAACTAAGCCCACTTTTCCTTTAGCTCTACATGATACACAATTCACTTAGAAATTAATAATTTAGCCAAGACGCCTTCCAGGGAATGCGGCTGCACTACTGCAAATCATTTCTTATTGAGGGTCCTGTGGAAGGCGAGGGTAGGCGGGCAGGAGAAAGCCTTGCCCCTGCCTTCCAAGGCTATTCGGAGAACGCGATCAGAAGAGCCTCGAGTTTGAAAGGAACTAGAGTTTAACCAAAGCAACATCCATTTTTACCAATAAGTAACCTGGGCTCCGAGAACTGCCCAGCACGGCTCTAGCAGGCTACAATAAGTCCTCAGTATGGATCTGTCAGTTAAGACAGAAACCATCACTTAATAAATTCCACTCGCTGGGCTGTCAAGACCAATTTAACCCCTTAAGAGCAACCCACGCAAGCACGGTCTCTCCATACGGCCAAATGCCTTGGACAGTTATTGTTTCTCCTACTGGCCGATTCCTCCTTTCAAGGAGAGACACAACCGGAGTAGTTTGCTTTACCCCAACGAAAACTTGGCTGGAAATTTTTAGCAGCTATGGCCCGCAGGCAGCGACAGGTCTGCTTGCCGCGCCTGCGCCCTCTAAGCCCGCGCCAGGCTGCGCCACAAGCCCGCGAGGGACGCCCAGGGGCAGCACGCCCTGGAAGGTCTCGGGGTCGGCTGACGCCACTGGTGCTACTAACCCAAGGATGACCAGAGAAACCGCTACCACGACACAAGACTCCACAGGCAAAGTCTGCTCTCAACGTTTCCAGTGCTGGAGGTAACCTTTGGAACTTCCGGCGGAGGGCCACCGTCCTCGCACAGCTTTATGGGAGATGTAGTTTAAAGACCGTCCGCTGTGTCAGACTGGAGATTGGGGTGGGGTAGGAGTTGGGATTTGGACTTCTGACCTAAGGTGAGAAAGGCCATATATCCCTCCCCTAGGTGGAGGTGTGTAGAGAAAAGTGCTGACGCTATGATGATTAGGTCTATGGAAATTATCTTGTTTTCCAGTGTTTCTCATCCAGCTCCCCAACTTTTCTCCATACGCCTTTTCCCTTTGAGTTTTCTACAGTGTTGTATAAAATATTAAAATCTGTTCACACGTTGGATTAGGAGAAACCAGTACATCTGCCGATTTATTTTCACTTGATTTCCCAGTTTTTTTATTTTTATTAATTTCATTTCCTATGATTTCATCTTTCAAAGCCTGCAGAAGTTATGTGACTGCGTAGCTTGGTGTTTAATGGTCTTCTGATTCCCACACAAGGGAATTGTACTTGTCAGTCAGCAACAGCTGAGGCATATCTTGAGACTAAAGATTGCATTCTGTATTTCTAGGCTCTTTCTCACCTTCAAGTTGCATAGACCTGTTGACAGTGCATGTGTGATGCTTGACCAAGGACTGAACCCAGAGCCTCATGTGTGCACGGCAAACTTTCTATTGCTGAACTACAACCTACTACCCGACTGTACTTCAATGACTGTTCCTCCACTTTCTCCTATGCTTCTTTCTGCTAGTAGTTGTTTGAATAAGAATGGGCTCCACAGGCTCATATGTTTGAATATTTTGTCTCCAGTTGGAAGAACTCATTAGGAAACATTAGGGCGTTATAGCCTTGTTGGAGGACCTGTGTCCCTGAAAGTGGGATTTGAAGTTTCAAAAGCCCATGCCATTCCCAATTAGCCTTCTCTGCCCGCACCCCTGCCTCCTGCTTGCAGATAAGTATGTAAGCTCTCAGTAATGGCACCAGTGCCCTGCCTGTCTGCCTGCTGCCATGCTCTCCACCATGGTGTTCATGCCCCTCTGTAGAAACTGGAGGGAATCCCTGATCAACCCTTTGTGTCATGGTGTTTTGTTACAGTAGAAAAGTCAGGCGGATGTAATTACTACACATACCAGAAATATAACTGTCGGATATTTCCCCATTCCAGGCATCATTCTCCCTCCTCCACCATTTTTGGGTGCCAATATCTTTCTTGTACTTCTTGCAGGGAGCTTCCTCCTCTGAGACTGCTCCAAGAGCTTCAATGGCCACCCTTTAGGTTCCCTTCTTGGCTCCACTCTCAATCTCTTCAATGGATCCATGAATATTTATGGGTTTTGAAAGTACCCTAAGTAGGTGTTGCAAGCCTTTCGGATAAACAAAAACCTATCCTCATTCTAACAACAGTGTGGGGAATGAGCCAAATCATTTTTTCTTCATAGGTTTATTTTGCTCTTGTCCCTTGGCAACCAGTGTTGTTCTGAAGCAGTGAGATCACTCTCTGTATGGTTTAAGAAATTTAGTGTAAGTAAGGCCTCCTTTAAAGAATTGGTCGAGGTGGGTAATGCTTCCCCTTTCAGTTGTTCTAATTATTGTTTGGAACATCTATGGGACTATTTCTCCCCTAGCCTCTCCCTGTGGGTTGTAAGGGATGCTTGTGCCATGAACTAGTTTATGTTGAGCAGGAAAGTTGCAAAATGCACAAGAGTTAAAGCAGGAGTGCTGCCTATCTGTCCTGAGGCTTTGTGGACAGACCTGCTGTGGGTGCATTGCTTAACTGTTCTCAGGAGAAGGAAAAATCCCTTGCTTTAAAAAGGAGACAGTGTGACGGTACAGAGCAAGCATGGCCATTGGGAGCTATATTAAAGTAGACTGCACAGTGGCAGGGAAGTAGAATAGAAACCTCAAGCCAAGGCATTGTCTTGTGTGTTACTGTCAGCCAATGGTCAGTGAGATCTGAATTGTAAATTAATGTACCCAATGAAGCAAGAGCACTGATGGTGATAACGAGTTCCTGAGTCCTATGGAAAAGATGGTATATCACCATTGATCCTGGTTCTAACAAACTTAGGCTGTCTCCAAGGCTTGTTTTATTCTCTCTACACAGGGGCGGTCACTGTAAATACTGATGGGAGAAAAAGACAAAACCTTCTAAAACTATACAAACTGCAAAGAGTTCTCTGCTCATTCACTGAGGCACTGGAGCAGTGAGCTACATCCTGATGCACAGGTTCAGAGAGAGAGAGAGAGATAGAGAGAGAGAGAGCCTGTCTATGTATCCAACCTGTAAGTGTTTCTCCACCAAAGCAGCGGGAACAGTCAATTTACCCTCACCCACATGCCAAGTGGACGTATGATTGTAAACAAAGGCACAAAGGCCCATATACTCAGGTAGGAATGTCTTGGGTCTCATGTTAGGGCTTGTGAGAAATTGATTCGTGGAACTGAGGTTCAATCTCCCAATGACTGATACTGCCTAGTAGAGATGATAAATGGTACAGTTTGGTGGTTGAGGGTCATCTGTCTGACCTGCTAGTTCTTGGGGCTCCACAGACGGTACCCCCTCTTGGTTTATTGGCCCAGGAATGGCTATAGAGGCTGTTTCTCCAGTTTTCCCAGAGGTTGTCCATGAATATTTGCTTTTGAGTAACATTCGGTATCCCGGTGGTTTCTTCTCTGACAACTCAGGAATAGGGCTGTGTGGACCATTCAGGAGAAACAAGGCTCTGCTTCTCTTTTAATTTGAAATTCCTGTGGGGGCTCTCATTGGCAAAATGTCCTGTTTCTTCACATGTATAACAGGTACCATTTGTTCCCTCAGGGCATACGACTTCCTTAAGGGTAGTTGAGACAGCCACTAACCTTGACAGTGGCTAGTACATATAATTTTACACAATCTAGCCATCTTTTGTACATTCAAGCCTTTATAGAAACTCCTGAGAGCCTCTCCACAAGTCTCGTTAGCATTTTCCAAAGTCAATTGTTTCATAAGCATCTTATCTGCTTCAGGGTCATTTATAAGAGCTGGGCTGTAAAATCTGTGTAACTCTTCTAGGCCCTGGTGAGTATCAGCCAGTGACAGGCCTTTTCCTTTTAGTGAGCAACTGTCTCTGTGCCTGTAA